AGGCAGGCAGTTTCAGAGCAGTCATACACTATTTCATTCAGTTTAAAGGTCAGATAGTGAGGGAACAGGACAGGTCTCCTAGACTAAGGATGGGTTAACTTGTTCTACAAGTCCATCATTATACACAAGTACCTACAGAGCAGTGGGAGTACAGGCAGTGCAGAACCTCACCCTTCAGCAGGTAAACACAGCTGATGCTCCTCACAGAGGACTTGATCATGCTGCTCTTGCCACTCAACAGCTGGAGGTGGCTGTGGGATTGCTGCTGCTGCTGCTCTGGGTCACCCCGAGAGTTTGGGAAAGAAGGAAACAGGGGCCAAGGGAAAGTTACAGGAGCCTTTATAGCCAAGCTGAAAAGAATGGATACCCCCCACTGGACAGAGAAAAAAAAACATTTCATGTATAACCACCAGTGAACACTGGAAACTTTACATTCAGGAAGTCAAGTAGATACCACAGTAATACTAGGACCATACAGTAAGTTCTCCTCCAAGGGTGGGGAAGGAAAGTCACCAAAAAGTCCAGATGCAACTTATACAACTCCCAAAGCACTTCCCCATCCAGACCAAGGAGGTTCAAAAGCAGATCCCTACCACTTTCAGGTGAAGGGTCCTCAACTCCAGAGGGTCCAGGTGTCTCAGCTGCCACATCTCTGCAGATCTGTGCTGCTCTCAGAGGCCACATCAGGATTTGAGTCCTTGTCCACCTCCCTCAGAGTCAATCGCCATCAAGTCCTGCTCCTTCCTGCTCCATACTACTGAATCCCCTCTCACACCTTCCAGCTGCACAGTAGCACCTTCTCCAGCAGAAGAACCTTCATATCCATCTGCTGGGGTCTCCTGGAACAGAACACTATTAAAACTTGACTCAAATTCATCATAACCCTCCTCTTCATCCAAAAGATCACTCACTTGAGTTGGGCTTCTGCCACTCCAACACAAAGAAATGCTAACAAACCAGGAAGAAGGAAAACCACTACATCCACCCCCCTCTTCCCAGTCTTGCCCTAAAAAACACATTTCAAGAGAAAGGATAACTACATATACCACTGCGGGGGCTTATATAGACACACGGTGAGGCGCGCGCTGTGTGGAGGACCAATCAGCCTCGGAGAAGAAGGACGGAAACATTCTCACGCGCTGAGGTTTGGAACGCGGAGTGGGAGGGGCAGGGATGGGATTGAAATCACGTGATAAGTTGACAGCCCAGTCACACGTGGGTCAGCAGTGTGTGATCTACAGTACTTTTTTCCTGAATGAGAGGACTAAAGTAAAACAACAAGGGTCAATTGCAACAAACTGAAAGTAGGGTACTAACAGGAGTTCAACCCGTGCTTAGTACGCAGCTGCGGTTTAAACTTGTTAAACAAATTTTGCCGCTGTGCTTAGTCCCCAGCACCGTACTAAATCTGTTCTCAATTACAATGAACACAAAGTAACAGCTGCTGCCCTCTAGAGGCTACTAAAGTAGAGGACTAACTTAAACATCTCTTCATATGGTTTAAGCAACTTAGTACCGTACTTGGAGTAACGCTGGATCGCATTAGAAGGCTCCTGAATGTAGTGGAAATAATATCTTCACTACTGTACATACTGAATTTATGCATCTAGCAAATTGCTTAACACTCATACCACATTTATTAATAATGAAGTTTACTAATACGTGTGTATTGATAAAAGTGTCATTTACTAATAATTACGTTTAATGTCAATCATTATTACTATCTGTGAATTTTAAGATATCCTGGGGAGTGAAGAGAACAGAACTTAAGCAAACAGTTATAACTAGGCATCAATTACTTATGATAATTCTTCGGAACATTGTCCCTTCTCTGTCCTGTGGCTGTGCTCCAGTAATGCCTGCGTTGAAACCGCCAGAGTGTGCTGAATGCCCTGGAGACGGAAGAGCTGGCTCATCCCAGTCAATCGCAAGACTGTGTAGGACTGCACGATGATGGTGGTGGCTCTTGTTGGACTGGTATGCAAACCAAATGACAGACAAGCAAAGAGTTGTTTTACAATTCCAAAAGCTCGTTCATTGTGGCTTCTTTTGCTGTTTTATGACTCCTGTTAAAGTGCTGTTCTTGTAATGTTGTAGGATTGTGCACAGGCGTCAGAAGATACCGTCGTAAAGGATAACCACGACTTAGCAGAGCAACACGAGCTCTTCCCCACTTTGAAAGGAAGATGTTGGAACTAACTAAAAAGAACTTGAAATACTGACACAAGAGAAGAGAGAGAGAAGTTTGTTTCAAGAGAAAATGAAAGTTCTGAAAAGGAAGCAAAAGGCACACCCTGCTAAAGAAATGTATT